GACCCCTCTGGATCAGAAGACTCCAAAATGGTCTAAACTTCTTATTCAAGGTCACCTATGACCAAGATTTTCTCAAAATGAATTTACTAACAAACCAAAACGCCCCCAGAAACACCAGAAATAACGAAGACATTATATGCATCCCCAAATTCACAAAGTCCAAACGCTCAAATTTCTACTGCATAAGATATGCCACTATCTGGAATGCTCTTCCAAGTTCTATCCGGAAAAGTCGAACCCTAATCGAATTTAAAATAAAAACTAAGAAATTCCTTTCAAATAACAATACACAAAAGCCTACGGGGCATTCTTTCGAACTCACATATGGTATGCAGTCTGTTATGTATGCAAAACAGAAGGCTAATTGGAAATAGGACGTGTACTGAGTACGATAGACAGCACAAGTGAGGAGGCTTGTGGAAACGGCCGGGTATATAGCAAGGGGGACTGTCATAGGCTGATGGGTGGCCAATCAGCACAAAGACGTTGTGAACAGGGGGCCATTACCTTGATCGTTCGCTTGTCACGCGTTTGTGGCATGATGTCCTGGAGGCCCGAGCAGGATACGCTGCATCCCTCCACCCTAAAGTGGAGAGCATGAGGGGGAGGGGAGGGGAACAGTATAGGTAATAGTGGATTGTCAGACAAAGTTCTAATAAGATTCGTCCTGAAAGCGTTGGACGGGTTTGCGGTTTCGGGTCGATCTTCTCAGGGCGGTATTTTCTACCTCTGCGCCGCTTTGTGTAGTCACTGGCTCCTCTGCCCCTAAGCTAGTGCTGGCCGGGGTAGAAGGAGGTGGAACATAAGCATCGGTGGACGGCGTAGTGCCCTGTGCAGGAAGTAGGGGCTCAGTCCTCGGGATGTCAGGATCCCTATCAAGGGTTGCTGGCAGTTCTAACTCTCCAAATTCTCCACTTACTGTGTCCGTTCGGCTGCGAACTTGGTCCAGATGTCGATGCACAATTCTCCCACCTTCTAACTCTAATTCCACTATTTGACCCTCGCTTTTTCGAACTACCGCTGGACACCAGTTCGTTTCGTGTTCCAGTCGCGTGGAGACACTTTCGTTGGGCGCGACGACTCGTGGTCGGGTGCTCACATCATATCGTTCTTTCATCTTCGTCTGTTTTGCAATGACCCTATCCTGCATTGATGGATTAAGCAGGTCGAGTCGTGTGCGCAACTGCCGCTTGAACATCAATTCTGCAGGCGAAGCACCAGTTGAGTCGTTTGGTGTTA